AAAAAAATGAACTAAGTATTAGAGCATTAAAAATGGCACACCCGAAATCAAAAGCCCTAAAACGTAAAAATAGATTGAGGAAGAGATGAAGGTGGTGAAATTACGGGAAGAGACTAGCCAGTTCTTGGAGCTGACGAAACTCTCGCTCCTCGTGGATCCGCTTAAGGAGCTCTTCGAGTTAATCCGAAAATGAATGGTTTGAGGAAAGAAGTAAAGTTTGGTAGAGAGAGGTTAGGGTTTGAGGACTGAAGAATTTTGAAAGCAGAGCTTTGGTAGGGTTTGTGAAGAGAATTGGAAAATGAAAGGTTTACCTGCTCCCGTCAAATCCCATTTGCGTGTGCGGAAATTCCGTATAAAGAAGAGAAAGGCGACATAATTCAGTCTTAACCTGCGTGCAACTGATGTTAAAGCAAGTTGTGGCAGTCTAGTAATTTCAAGGCCAAAGCAATGGCAGCACCTGTAAAAATAGTTGAAAATGGAGGACAATTATGCTTGAACAAGTTGGACACGTGTCACGCCCTAAACCCTTTACATTTTTGCTTATATGTAAGGGGGAGATATAGAACAAATAAATTATATTTATCTTTACTATGATAAAAAATACTTATCAACTCCAATTACAATATGGATGTCAAAGTCATATATAGCAACTCCAATTACATCAACAGTCATTCTAAAAAAGAATAAAAAAAATACACCAAATTGCAGCCTTGTTTTGGTGCATCCTTACTTCCTTCAAAACACCACACATTAATCAAAACTTCACTCTTGTTTCATTCTTCACATTTATAAACAATAAATCTCTCCAAAGAGCGTTTGCAAGAGCCACAAATCATTGTTTTCTCAACCAAACCTTCTTCAAATGGTATTATCATCTCATAGCTATGATGGCATTTTTCACCATCACCAAAAGCAGCTTCAAAGGCACTCCTAACTGCACCAGCTAAGCCCATTTGCACCACATTTTTACACCACAAAGGAAACCGACCGAGAAATTCTCTCATTTTTTCTTGATCGATCATTATTACATCGTTCGAGAGCCCCCCACCAATCACGGCCCAATTTCCATTGGTCTTTAAAAGCTCGGCCGCTCTCGTCAAGATCTCATCCAAACGGGCCGTTATGTTTTGTCGGTCGACTGATCTTTTTATCGCCTCTAGTCGAAACCAGAACATTTTCACCTTATTGAGAGATAGAGAATCGCATACCTTTTCTCGATAAATTGTGTCTACAATGGTTTTCACATTCTCACTAGGATTATTGCAGCCAACATATATCATTTCAAGATTGATTGACTTCATTTTGGAATTAAAATCTCTAATCCAATCTAAGTTGTCACTCCCAAAATGCAGAGTTCTCTGCCTTCCTCCACCTGAAAAAACATTTTCAATACAAAGTTATCGAGTTAAGACCAATTACCAAAACACCCTAATTATTTTATTGATTAGACTAACAATGACGTACGATTTCGTAATTAACCATATCCTTTAGGCTTTAACCCAAAAGAGAAAAGTCATCTCATCAGCAAAAGAGATTCTTACCCATTCAAATGATAAAGTGTTGATTCCATTGAGGATGAGTTCAAGATTCCATCTTGCATGGCTCCAAAGCTCCTCTTCTCGTTCGCCCGAAAAAGGAAATGCCGTGGGCCCCCACACGATCACCATATCCATCGCGTTCGAGTTTGTCACGACATTATTTTCGTTCAAAACGACCATCTTTGGCTCGTCTTTGAACTCCCACTCGTGTTCGATGTAAGTTATCACTCTCGAGTTTAAGAGCCACGGGCTTCGGATAAAGAGCCACGGAATGTAACTCGAGACGAGTTCGAAAGTGGTCTGTTCGGCTGAGGCCCACTCGTGAGAAGCCGAAATCGGTACCCAAAGTGTTTTTGCATATTCACAAACATCCTTAATTTGGTTTGCCAGAAAATGTATGTTGTCCATGGGGAGAAACTCTGGCTTTGAGATCAAGAGTGTAACAACCTTATTTTTCAGCTCATGAATGTCACACTGTTGTAATAAAAACAAAAAAACAAAAGCAAAACGAAAAAACATAAAATAAGGCTCTGAGATTAATCTTTAATTACAGAAAACACTCAATAATCTATCAAAATTGGTAAAGTCCCCCAATATTCTTGTCACTATTCATTTTTTTATTTACCTATTTGTTGCTGGCATTTGTCGATGTATTCGCCAAGAAAACGATACAAATCGTTCAACTTTCTTCTTAAACTATGGAGTCTCCATGCTGCAATTACAGTTCTGTCTGAATGCCTGAGGGACTCAATTTACTCATCACACTTCAGAAAACGAAGTTTCATGCAAAGGAAAAAAAAATAAAAATTTAAAACCGAAAATCGTGTAATTACAAAAAGTTCCCCATAGGTTTAGTCAAATTACAAAGAAGGTGTGTGTATGTTTGAAACTTAGGAATATAATGTGGCCTTCTTCGTAATTTGACTAAACCATGGGGTAGTTTTTGTAAATAACCTCAAAAAGCTAGTGAGCAAAATGAAGGGAAAGAACATGCACTTGCTCAACTCTCAAGTTTGTTGAATCTGCAAATTGTGAAGAGCATATTAATATGCTTCTAAAGATCCAATAAGTCGCCAAGTAAATCTTCGACTTTGTAATATCCAAAGCCGAGTAATCCACGAGCTCGTGCTGCATATAACTGCCTTCGAATCTAATAATGAGTCTAGTTAGGTTCACTATAGTTTGAATCAATAAATGCAAAGCCTTAAATTGCCGCTTTAATTCGGTGAGCCCTTTAACAACCGCTACCCGAAATGTCAATGCATTGCGAGACTTTTGCTGGAAAACGAGCCGAAATAGGCCAAATATACGAGCGAAAGATGCAAGAGTTAGAACGATTTTTGCATCCCAACTGTACGTGTCGAGTTTTCCGAGTAAGAATAATGTCTTTTCGTGCAAATTTCGATCGTCATCAAAAGAATTTGTAAGTATCTGCAGCAAAGATCACAAGTCAGAGGTAATTACATAAAGTACCCTGAGGTTCAATTAATTGCAGAAAGGTACTCACTAAT